TGGACTTCTATTATTTCCACGACCAGAACGTAAATATCCAAAGTACTCCAGACTTGGTAGGAATAGTCAAAAGCAGACAGTCCTCTCCGCTGGAATCCACCTGTGCTTACCCTGCTGGTCTGACGTGAATCCTGTCACCGAGGTGGGCACTGGCACCAGAGGAAGTTTGAAAAAGAGCCCGTGTCTGATTATCCAAGAACACACAGAAGAACGTTTTCCTGGCTAAAATGAGCAGAGTTTGCTATTATAATAGCAGCTTGGTGGCTTAAATCAGTTTCCCTTTAGAGCAGCCTCAGAGTCCCAGAAATCTTTTTTTTTTTTTTAAAGGCTAAACCATCTTTTATTTATTTTATTTTTATTTTTTTATTTTTTTTTGAATTTTGCCTTTTTAAAAAATTTTATTTATTTATTTATTTATGGCTGTGTTGGCTCTTCGTTTCTGTGCGAGGGCTTTCTCTAGATGCGGCAAGCGGGGGCCACTCTTCATCGCGGTGCTCCGACCTCTCACTATCGTGGCCTCTCTTGTTGCGGAGCACAGGCTCCAGACGCACAGGCTCAGTAATTGTGGCTCACGGGGCTAGTTGCTCCGCGGCATGTGGGATCTTCCCAGACGAGGGCTCGAACCCGTATCCCCTGCATTGGCAGGCAGATTCTCAACCACTGCGCCACCAGGGAAGCCCTCCCAGAAATCTTAGGCCTAATTTTTTTTTTTCGTTCCTGTAACACATTTTACCAAAACTTGGGTAACTTTAGACCCGGTATTATACACAGTTTTATAGTCCTCCCAATTGTTTCCATCTGGGTCCCCTTTTCCAGGCCTCTTCGCTCTGCTTCCCTGAATTTTACGATTGAGTCTTTCACCTTTTCCCAGCACTTTTAATTCCCATTCCACTCTCCTACGTGAAATCAGAGTGTGAGCCTAAGGGAAGCAAAGTAAATCCTTCTCTCTTAGTTTTTACAGAAAAATCTGTGTGGCAGAGGAATTCCGAGTGTGACTGTGGAGGGGAAATTGCTTGTTGTCATGTAAAGCGATGTTTCTCTCAGTAAAAGCACTGGTCTGGGTCTCAAGAGGCCTGGGTTCTAGTCTTGTCTTTTGTTACCTTGCCATGTGACATGTCTTTTTACCTTCTGGGACTCGAGTTCCTCATTTGTCAAACAAGGAGCACAGATTCCCCAGCAGGTCTACAAAGCAGAGGACAGTGTTAAAAAAAGAAACAACAGGGACTTCCCTGGTGGCACAGTGGTTAAGAATCCGCCTGCCAATGCAGGGGACATGGGTTTGAGCCCTCGCCTGGGAAGATCCCACATTCCGCGGAGCAACGAAGCCTGTGAGCCACAACTACTGAGCCTGCATGCCACAACTACAGGAGCCCGTGTGCCTAGAGCCTGTGCTCTGCAATGAGAGAAGCCACCGCAATGAAAAGCCCACGCACTGCAATGAAGAGTAGCCACCACTCACTGCAACTAGTGAAAGCCTGTGCACAGCAACGGAGACCCAACGCAGCCAAAAATAAATAAATAAATAAATTTATTAAAAAAAAAAAAAAGAAAGAAACAACAAGCCCAAGATGGAGTCACTTATGCTAAGGCCATGTCACCAAACCCAGACTTAATACCTAACCTAACTGCAATTTCAGACGCTTTCAGGAAAGTAATCTTAACTAGTTGCTTTAGAATTACCTGGTCAGAACTAGGGAGATAGCCTCATAGACCCATACTGTGCCCCAAAGGAAGATGACCTGGCCTGAAACAATCAGCTCTTTGATAGAACAACTTCCTTGTCCCACCTCCTCCTGCCTATGAAAGCCTGCCCTTTTGTACAGCTCTTTAGAGCTCCTTTCTATCTGCTAGGTGGGATGCTGCCCAATTCATGAATCACTGAATAAAGCCAGTAAGATCTTTAAAATGGACTTGTTACCGACCAGGGTTCCTGGACTCCTTAATCAATAGAAATTGATAAGAGGCTGAGACTTCCCTGCTGGTGCAGTGGTTAAGACTCCATGTTTCCACTGCAGGGGGCGTGGGTTCGATTCCTGGTCCGGGGGTGGGGGGTGGGGAAGAAATTGATAAGAGGCTAGATGCGAAATTCAGGGAAGGCTTTATTGGGACTCGTGCTGCAGCACGAGGGAACGAGGGAGTGAAAATAAGTAACAGGTTCCCTTGCTCACTCCCCGGAGCGGTGGAGCTGGTCCCTTAAATGGGGTGAGGGTAGAGGTGGATACATGGGTGGGGTCAGAGGGGCGGCTTAGGTGGCCTGCCCACCCCCTTGGTGGTGCTGTGTGCAGGGACCATGGGTAGTACCCTGCTTTTGCTCCTGACACCCCAGAAGTGGCAGTTGTGTTTTTGGTCTTTTTGTATCTTATCGTTCATAATTTGCCCCAATGGGTCATGGGTGCAGTTATTTTTAGTCTCTTATAGTTTCTTTGTATTCTGAGGCTCAGGAGACAGTTTGTCCAGGTATAAGTACAGCAGCAAAAGTTCCCAGGCCTGTCTCATACTCAGTTGAATTTTGTTTTTATCACAACAGGAAGAGGAAGAGACAGAGCTTTTTGGGTGGGTTTTCTTTAGGATAAATCAACTTCCCCTTATCTCAAAGCATGTTGTCTGCTTTGGACATCACCGAAAGTGGCCTAATCCCGGTCCTAGGAAAATGGAGAGGTGGCCATGAGGGAGAGCTGAACAGCGGGCCTGAGCACCTTAGGCTGCCATGGCATAAGCACCTGTTTCTGACTGCCTGATGGAGCCGATTTCAAGGTGACCTCTTGATTCATACAATGTGTGTCTTCTCTCCTTACCTTTAACTTGGAGTAAATCAACATAAAAAGACAAAAGGCCTATTCTGCAGCGGTGTAATCTCAAAGATGGAAACAATTTCATTCCCTAAAGAAACAAGAAGCGATGTCCTTCCTGATCTGCCACCCTACCTGATCCCAACGCTCCGCTGAGCTGTAATTCATCCAGGTGGGGTCCCTGGGTGTCTATTTCGTGTCAGGCTGGGGGTATGCAGATCATCTCTTGCCTCTTAGATGGCCTCTCTTTTTCATTATTTCCTCTCTACATATAAAGTTAGAGTGATATTTTAAATATGTAGATCACGTCACTCACCTGCTCAAAACCTTCCAGTGGCCTCTTTCATATTTAGGATAACATCCAAACCCCATACCTTCGACTCTAGGGCCCTGCAGGGTCTGACCCGAGCCTCAGGGCCTTTGTACTTGCTGTTCCCTCAGCCTGAAATTATTGTCCCCTGGGTTCTTGAAGGAAATTTCTTCTGCTTCCCAGTGACGTCTCAGCTCAAACATCCCTACTTCAGAGAGGCCTTCCCCAATCTTGCTGTTATCCCCATAATCGAACCTGTGGTCGAACCTGTTCCCGCAAGTTGCTCTCCATCATTTGAAAGAATTTTATTTTATTGAAGTATAGCTGTTTTACGATGTTCTGTTCATTTCTGCTGTACACCAAAGTGATTCAGTTATACACATATATACATTCTTTTTCATATTATTTTCAGTTATTGTTTATCACAGGATATTGAATACAGTTCCATGTGCTATACAGTAGGACCTTGTTGTTTATCCATTCTATATATAGTAGTTTGCATCTGCTAACCCCAAACTCCCAATCCATCCCTGCCCCAACCCCCTACCCTTTGGCAACCATAAGTCTGTTCTCTATGTCTGTGAGCCTGTTTCCGTTTTGTAGCTCAGTTCGTTTGTGTCATATTTTTTTTAATATTTATTTATTTTATTTATTTATTATTTTTGGCTGCATCAGTCTTAGTTGTGGCACACGGGATCTTCGTTGTGGCACCACAGGCTTCTCTCTAGTTGTGGCGTGAGGGTTTTCTTTCTCTGGTTGTGGGCTCCAGAACGCGTGGGCTCTGTAGTCTGTGGCACGTGGGCTCTCTAGTTGAGGTGCTCGGGCTCAGTAGTTGTGGCATGAGGGCTTAGTTGCTCTGCGGCACGTGGGATCTTAGTTTCCCGACCAGGGATCGAACCCACGTCCCCTGTGTTGGAAGGCGGATTCTTTACGACTGGTCCATCAGGGAAGTCCCCATTTGTGTCATATTTTAGATCCACATATAAATGATCCAAAATTTACAAACAGCTCATACAACTCAACAAAAAAAACCCAATTGAGAAATGGGCAAAAGACCTAAATAGACATTTCCCCAAAGAAGATACACAGATGGCCAACAGGCACATGTAAAATGCTCAACATTGCTAATTATTAGAGAAATGCAAATCAAATCTCTATCATTTTTATATCTGTTGCATCATCTCACTTTCCACAAATTGAAATGATCTGTGATCACTTATTTATCATCTGTCTTCTCCATGACGGTAGAGGTCACTGTCCTGTTCAGTAGGCATTTAGCATAGCCCTAGCATATGGTAGGCTCTCAAGATATTATTATTATTATTTATTTATTTATTATATTATTATTTTTTTGCGGTACGCGGGCCTCTCACTGTTGTGGCCTCTCCCGTTGCGGAGCACAGGCTCCGGACGCGCAGGCTCAGCGGCCATGGCTCAGGGGCCCAGCCGCTCCGCGGCATGTGGGATCTTCCCGGACCGGGGCACGAACCCGTATGCCCCGCATCGGCAGGCGGACTCTCAACCACTGCGCCACCAGGGAAGCCCTCTCAAGATACTATTGAATAAATGAATGAAGTAATATTTATAATAAATAAATAGTACTGTAATGTGAACATGTTCAAAACTCTATGGTTAGAAGAGGGAGGAACACAGCAGTTGTGAAAGGTGGGGAAAACTTTCTAAAAGGACCTAAAGGGCAGATTAGAGGTCCTGGTCATCAGGCCCTTCTGCACTTGGCTCAGCTCCGCAACTCCAAACGCTTATACCCATACTTAATTTTTTTTTTTTTTAACTGCTTTTCCGCGAAACCCCTCCAAGCCCGCAGGGGGCGCCCACAACACGCCACCCGGGAGAACGAGAACTACATTTCCCAGCATCCCGCGCGCCGCCGACCCACTTCCGGAGCCCGCGGACAGCATGGCGGCGTCCGAGGAGCGCGATTCACCGGCTGAGGTCCCCCAGATGGCGGTGGAGGAGGCGGAAACGAAAACATTTAAAGACCTGGTAAGAGTAGATGACGCCGGTTTCCCTTTTTCCTACTGGCGCCAGGCGCGGGCAGAGTCCGGTTGCCTTCGATACAGGCCGCTGGTGTGCAAAAAACAGCCAGGGCCTAGCTCAGGTTTCCCTCGGGGCGTCCGAAGCTCGGGTTCCGGACGAGCTCCCTCGGCTCTGAGTTTGGGTGGTGGGAGGGCGGCCGGTGCCCGGGAGCCCCCATTTGCCCTTTTGAATTCCACCTCGGTGTGGCAGCGTTGTGTCTGTGCAGGGTGTTGTCCATGCGGCGAATCCGATTTTTGTGCATCTTGGGCTTTGGATTCAGATGAACCGGTATTGAATTCTGACCCAGTCACTGACTAGACGCAAGTTATCTCGGTGCCTCACTTTCCACATCTGTAAATTGGGGATTATGATAAGTACCGCATAGACTTGTTTAGATTAAATGAAGTAATACAGGCAAAGAACTTGGCTTTGTCCCCGGTGAGTGGAGAGTGATTGGTAAGTCTTAAGTTCCTGTCCCAGTTCTCAGAGTTAAAGAGAAGACTGAGTAGACTCACAACAAAAACCTTTTGAATCAAAGCGTAGGGGACGCACATGTCACCAGCAAGGCGGCCCTAACGGTCATTTAATTATGTGGGAGGTGAGTGTGTGTTTTCCTTTGCTAAACTGTGTTTTTCCGAATTCTAAGGGTGTGACAGATGTGTTGTGTGAAGCTTGTGACCAGCTGGGATGGACAAAGCCAACAAAGATCCAGATTGAAGCTATTCCTTTGGCCTTGCAAGGTAGATTGAAATTGTGTGGCCTGTTTCAGATTCAGTATGAAGTTAAACATATTCAATTAAATACCACTTTTGAGAGCTATTGCTTTGCATACGTCAAGTGAAATAAAATATGGTCCCTAAAGATAAAAAGTTTGTGGCTTATTGTTTTTTTTTTTTGGCGGTACGCGGGCCTCTCACTGTTGTGGCCTCTCCCGTTGCGGAGCACAGGCTCCAGACGCGCAGGCCCAGCGGCCATGGCTCACGGGCCCAGCCGCTCCGCGGCATGTGGGATCCTCCCGGACCGGGGCACGAACCCGCGTACCCCGCATCGGCAGGTGGACTCTCAACCACTGCGCCACCACGGAAGCGCGGCTTATTGGTTTTTGAAACAGTAATTCACCAGTTTTACGGAGTTTACTTTCTACGAGGGGATTTGTTGTCTTCTGTTTTTCTAGCTTTTTCTTTCTCAGTTTCTTTTGGCTCTTTTCCCTTTGCCTTGCGGTGTTAATTCTATCTTTATCTTTTTTTCTCACTCTAAAAATGTTACTAAGATTTCTCAGCCAGTCCTGAGGCTTTAATACTGTCTGCCTCAGTGAGTTTCAGCCACTGCTCATTAGAATCACCTGTGGAACTTTTAAAACACTAGCGATTTCTGGGCTTCAACCCAGACCTTCTGAATTGGAATTTCCAGGCATGGGACCTAGGCATATATAGATACAAAACTTAACAGTTCTGGGACTTCCCTGGTGGTCCAATGGTTAAGAATCCGCCTGCCAATGCAGGGGACACGGGTTTGAGCCCTGGTCCGGGAAGATCCCACATGCCGTGGAGCAACTAAGCCCGTGCACCACAACTACTGAGCCTGCACTCTAGAGCCCGCGTGCCACAACTACTGAAGCCTGCGTGCCTATAGCCTGCGCTCCGCAGCAAGAGAAGCTACCACAATGAGAAGCCTGTGCACCGCAACAAAGAGTAGCCCCTGCTTGCCGCAGCTAGAGAAAGCACGTGCACAGCAATGAAGGCCCAGTGCAGCCAAAAGTAAAAAAAAAAAAAAATAATAATAATAATAATTAATTAAAAAAAAACTTAATAGTTTATTCTAATGTGTCTTCCCCTGGGGGAGCACACATGAGCACTGGTCAGATGCTCATGGCTCCCATGTCTATATTTCTAGCCCACACTTCTTTGCTGAGCTCCAAACAAGTATGTCCAACTGGTTTTTAGATACTTTTCTCTAAGCTTACTGCAGGAATCTCAAGTTCCCTATGTCCAAAACAGAGTCCTTATTTTTCTCTCCAGAACTAATTTCCCTGTAGCCCTTATCTCAGTTTATGGCTTTTGAGTTTCCCAAGCTAGAAACCTCTGTGTCAATCACATTTTCTTTTGTTACTTTCTTTTATTTTTTTATTTTCTTAAAGTATAGTTGATTTACAATGTTGTGTTAATTTCTCTTTCCTTTTTTTTTTTGGAAGTCACATGAAGAAAAAATGTATTCAATATATTTTTAACAATTTTGAGAATATGTGAACTTTACATTTATATTTGCAAAAATGTACATGGAAAATATGATGAGAATAAGTAACAGGTCAACAGTACTAACACCAGCACAAACAATAAATTGTGTACATCACACCTATGAATTTTCTACATAAGAATGATTCCAAAGGTCTATAGAAACAAAATAACACTCACGAGAGAGGTTATTTTGTTAATAATCATATATGTGTTGATTCAAATAAATTAGAATTTCATGTTGTAACGCTTTGTCTGTAATGTTCCAATTCTCATACAACTTGAGTTTATTATCCAATACTGCTTAGTCCTCAGGAGTCTCAGTGACAACATAGACTTGTACAGTTTGATGATTTTTCAGTCTCTAACCAGCCATGTAACATTTAACATCAGGCCTAGTGTTACGGAAGCGGCTCTTGAAAAACCACCTGAAGAGGGCTTGAGATCCCCAGGCAGAGCCTGGTGTTTAAGGTTGAAAGGCAGTCTGTGATAAAGTAGCAAAGTTGAGCCTTTGATTTATTTCTTTATTTTAAATTAATTAATTAGCTAATCTATTTATTCATTTATTTTGGTTGGGCATTGGGTTGTCTGCCTGACAGAGGGCATCCTTCCTCAGGAAATTCGACGCTTGCCCACTAAGGGAGAACAGAAGAGTCGGGAAAGGCATGGATGACCTTTTTAATTTTTCTTATATGATACAGTATAACGTATCTCCTCAGAGCTCTGATTACAAAGGAAAATTCCCCACTGCAGTCTGGTGTGCCATCCCATTATTCAGTTTTAGAAGCATAAAATGAGCCTCAAGGCAAGACATCAGAGAGCTCACTTAACACATATTCTCCAACATAAAGACAAAAAAATAAATGGAAGAATGGAAGGAAGGAAGGGAGGGAGGGAGGAAGGAAGGTCTTATTGTTCCACATTGTTTTGGCCCCCGCATCGGCAGGTGGACTCTCAACCACTGCGCCACCACGGAAGCGCGGCTTATTGGTTTTTGAAACAGTAATTCACCAGTTTTACGGAGTTTACTTTCTACGAGGGGATTTGTTGTCTTCTGTTTTTCTAGCTTTTTCTTTCTCAGTTTCTTTTGGCTCTTTTCCCTTTGCCTTGCGGTGTTAATTCTATCTTTATCTTTTTTTCTCACTCTAAAAATGTTACTAAGATTTCTCAGCCAGTCCTGAGGCTTTAATACTGTCTGCCTCAGTGAGTTTCAGCCACTGCTCATTAGAATCACCTGTGGAACTTTTAAAACACTAGCGATTTCTGGGCTTCAACCCAGACCTTCTGAATTGGAATTTCCAGGCATGGGACCTAGGCATATATAGATACAAAACTTAACAGTTCTGGGACTTCCCTGGTGGTCCAATGGTTAAGAATCCGCCTGCCAATGCAGGGGACACGGGTTTGAGCCCTGGTCCGGGAAGATCCCACATGCCGTGGAGCAACTAAGCCCGTGCACCACAACTACTGAGCCTGCACTCTAGAGCCCGCGTGCCACAACTACTGAAGCCTGCGTGCCTATAGCCTGCGCTCCGCAGCAAGAGAAGCTACCACAATGAGAAGCCTGTGCACCGCAACAAAGAGTAGCCCCTGCTTGCCGCAGCTAGAGAAAGCACGTGCACAGCAATGAAGGCCCAGTGCAGCCAAAAGTAAAAAAAAAAAAAAATAATAATAATAATAATTAATTAAAAAAAAACTTAATAGTTTATTCTAATGTGTCTTCCCCTGGGGGAGCACACATGAGCACTGGTCAGATGCTCATGGCTCCCATGTCTATATTTCTAGCCCACACTTCTTTGCTGAGCTCCAAACAAGTATGTCCAACTGGTTTTTAGATACTTTTCTCTAAGCTTACTGCAGGAATCTCAAGTTCCCTATGTCCAAAACAGAGTCCTTATTTTTCTCTCCAGAACTAATTTCCCTGTAGCCCTTATCTCAGTTTATGGCTTTTGAGTTTCCCAAGCTAGAAACCTCTGTGTCAATCACATTTTCTTTTGTTACTTTCTTTTATTTTTTTATTTTCTTAAAGTATAGTTGATTTACAATGTTGTGTTAATTTCTCTTTCCTTTTTTTTTTTGGAAGTCACATGAAGAAAAAATGTATTCAATATATTTTTAACAATTTTGAGAATATGTGAACTTTACATTTATATTTGCAAAAATGTACATGGAAAATATGATGAGAATAAGTAACAGGTCAACAGTACTAACACCAGCACAAACAATAAATTGTGTACATCACACCTATGAATTTTCTACATAAGAATGATTCCAAAGGTCTATAGAAACAAAATAACACTCACGAGAGAGGTTATTTTGTTAATAATCATATATGTGTTGATTCAAATAAATTAGAATTTCATGTTGTAACGCTTTGTCTGTAATGTTCCAATTCTCATACAACTTGAGTTTATTATCCAATACTGCTTAGTCCTCAGGAGTCTCAGTGACAACATAGACTTGTACAGTTTGATGATTTTTCAGTCTCTAACCAGCCATGTAACATTTAACATCAGGCCTAGTGTTACGGAAGCGGCTCTTGAAAAACCACCTGAAGAGGGCTTGAGATCCCCAGGCAGAGCCTGGTGTTTAAGGTTGAAAGGCAGTCTGTGATAAAGTAGCAAAGTTGAGCCTTTGATTTATTTCTTTATTTTAAATTAATTAATTAGCTAATCTATTTATTCATTTATTTTGGTTGGGCATTGGGTTGTCTGCCTGACAGAGGGCATCCTTCCTCAGGAAATTCGACGCTTGCCCACTAAGGGAGAACAGAAGAGTCGGGAAAGGCATGGATGACCTTTTTAATTTTTCTTATATGATACAGTATAACGTATCTCCTCAGAGCTCTGATTACAAAGGAAAATTCCCCACTGCAGTCTGGTGTGCCATCCCATTATTCAGTTTTAGAAGCATAAAATGAGCCTCAAGGCAAGACATCAGAGAGCTCACTTAACACATATTCTCCAACATAAAGACAAAAAAATAAATGGAAGAATGGAAGGAAGGAAGGGAGGGAGGGAGGAAGGAAGGTCTTATTGTTCCACATTGTTTTGGCTATTATCAACTTTTGTTAGATGTTTCCTTCTTTCCCTCCAAGGTGTGTGAAACCTAGGAAGCTGTATGTGCCAGACATTTGTCAGGCAATGTGGTCCTAATTATATAGCTATTATTTAAACAAAATTCCAATCACTAATGTTAACAGCAGGTTATCTGCCTATGGCTTAGAGATTTGGATGTATACTGTACTATTAACTTTTATTGCATATAAACGAAAATTTGAAATTCATAATTATTCTGTTATTTGAAATCCCATCACAGTTTACATATCTGTATCTATACATGTGATCTCATATAATCTTTATCGTATCAGTTTTACAGTAAACAATATGATCTTTCTCCCTCAAGCTTTATTGCCAACTTAATGGGAAATGCACTTATTTTTATGACCAAAAATTGCCCCCCAAAATTGGATGCAAATTTATCCAGTGGAGTATCATATTCTGATGCTG